CCATACAGCATGATGTTCATTAAGTAAATTATGGTCCCATAAGTAAGTAAGTGAGTAAAACAGGGTTATGATTTAGGGGGTTGCTCCCTCGTGGTTAACATGTCACTCTCAGTGAGTCTGTTCAGCTCAACCCACCAAACTAAGATCAAACCGTCAAACTAGGCAGTGCTGATCAAATATGGATCAAGATTATGCAAGTCACTGCATTGCATATTTCCATGGAGAAAAGCCTTCATGCCATTCTTTGCTTCTTTTATAATAAATAAAAACTCTTGTTCAGTCAGTTCTGATGTGATTGATGCTAGCAGCATCTACACTCATCTCTGTGGGACCAGCCATTGTTGTTTTCCACAGCGTCACCATTCATTCTAATGCAAACTGCTCAGTGGCTCATGAAGCCAAAAAAGCCACTTCCCACTGAAAAGAAATTCTTGCAAGTCCAGGTGGCTCGCAAGGTTAGATCACCAAAGTCATTAGGATTAATTCATGGATAATATCGGAAATCACAAAAAACTGTGAAATTAATTATAAATAAATACATAATTACACATCATAGATTTAGCAAACTCAACTAACAAGGACTCACAAGGAAGATGAAGAAGAAATAAACATATTTCCTCTCATTCTAGATATCTGGGAATCTGTGTCAAGGAAGACAAACTCTATCCGATCTTAGAGGTGAGTCCTACTCTTATTTTTATTTATTTTTTTTGCACCCTGTGAGTCATTGTTACTGTGTGGCTGGCTCTATTCTGAGTGTGGAAAAACACAACAGATAACACTGATTTGAGTTGATAGTGATAATGAAATAGAGTCAGGCATTTATTGTGTAAGCAGGACTAGGTTAATTGCTTAAAGTAAGTAAGTAAGCGAATTATACTTTGACATAATCTCATATTTTTGCATTGTACACCTGTATCAACTTCATATTAGTGTATATAATTGAACAAATGCTACATTTTTCAAAATGTCTTTCTTTTATTCTGACATTGGCTGTTTCAGTATGTCAATGGTGGCTGTGTAGAGGAGCTTCTGGCTAGGAAAGATGTTCCCCTGTGCTGGAGAGAGAAGGTGGACCTGGCCTGTGATATAAGCAGGGGGATGATCTACCTGCACTACAAGAACATTTACCACAGAGACCTCAACTCGAAGGTAAGACCTTCTGTCACTGTCCCACTGTGTCCTGTTATTTAACTGCTGCAACAGTCCAGTGTACCCACAGGGATCATTCAACTTTCATTTCATCTCTCATCAGCTGCCACCACAGAGACCTCACAGGGGTCAACTGTGCTTGATACTTGTAAGCTCAACTGCTAGAATATAAGACCATTGGGATAGATTGAGAACAGAGAGAACATAAGCCTATACTGAAGTCCCCCTCCAGTCAGAAAGAAGTGTGTCTTCTTGTTGATACAGTGTGATGTTTGAATGCTGTCTGACACTAAAAGGATGTTTTCATTTATTTCAACATTCATCTGCTTAAAATTTCTCTGTGCTCATTAAAAATCTGATTTTAAGGGGCGGGGCCTAACAGCGTGATTTGTCACAAATTTATCACAAATACTTTGGAAGTAAGTCCTGGTCCAGTATGCAACTTCCACTGAGAATTGACTTACAGTGAATAGAGACATTCCCTTGGTCCAGCAGAACTTTAGAAATATATTCAGAGATTCTGGAAGTTTTAATGAGGTAGAAGGACGAGATGACTTCTTAATTCAATTCAATTCAATTCAATTTTTCTGTATAGCGCCAATTCATCTCAGGACACTTTTCAAATAGAGCAGGTCTAGACCAAACTCCTTATAACATTTACAGAGACCCAACAGTACCACCATGAGCAAGCACTTGGTGACGGGGGCAAGGAAAAACTGCCTTTTAACAGGCAGAAACCTCGGACAGACCCTTCGGCTCTAGGTGGGTGGTCATCTGCCTTG